TTTTCTTTTTGCCGCAAAATGTTAATTTGCCAAATTTGGCGAAATTTCTCTTTTTTTTTAAAGTAATTCAGTTTTTGAATTCACAAAATGATCGCGAAACAAAAATGTTTTACTAAGCAAAGACTATATGAAAACTATCAGCTATTATCCAAATTTCGAACTTTTTATGCTGTAATTAGGAAAATTATTATAAATTATAATAAACAACAAACAGATTTGATATTTTTGCAACAAGCAATATTAAAATAGAGAATTGTAGTAAAGTAAAGCAAATAATAGCATTGGTAATCAAATACATGTATAAATTTGAAGTAACTAATGTAAAGCTATTTTATATACAGTACTGATCACTGGCATCCCCAAGAATTTCCAGTTGCTTTAGAAGTTCTGAAAATTAATTAGCATTCATTCGTGAGAAATAAAAAACGTATATGAAGTGATTTTTTATAAAAGGCCTCCGGTTTCAAATATTAGGATTTCAATTAAATAAAGACTCTACAAATTTCAAAGTTAACATTACCAATTCTTCATATTTATAAGAAACAGTTATTTATAAATGAGAAAAAGTCCAATTTCCCTCTTTTATTGTCATTGACAGAGATTACCCACCAAATGGGCTAACAAGCAAAAAAAAAAAAAATAACTTTTGATCAAAAATTCTCGTCATACATATTGTGTATTGAAATAGAAAAGGAAAAAGAAAAAAAACAGCCACTTGACAATGGGCAAAATCTCACAATAGTAAAGCTAAAAAGAGAACTATGCAGAAGCATGCATATTTTTCCAATCGAACCAGCCCATTCATTTCGGATGTTCAAATTGCTTTCGATGTTCCACGTTCTTTCGATAACATTGTGCACCATATCTAAAATTTTTATACTTAAAACCAGCAACTGAAAAATGAATGAATGAGTGAAAAAAAAAACGTACTAATCATAACTAATTCTGAAAAGAGTAAAGCGTTTAAATTTTCTTTTATCAACCAAGCACACAATTATGTATTATATTACTGAATAAGTAACCGAAACCTATCATTCACAAATTTTTCACAAGTGAAGCCACGACCACTGATTATCACTGATTATCTCACAGTTCATCCATTAAAAAAAAGCCATGACTGATTATATCACACACATAACTTACTTGCATGGTATTTTTGCTTTCTTTCTCTCCACTTCCTCATCGCTATCTGCACCATCTTCCTTCACATTGTCAGCAGCAACTTCTTCGTCATTCTTAGGATTTTCGGTAACCGCATCTCGTTTCCTTTTTCTTGCTGTTAAAACTTTTCCGTCTTTTGCATCATTTTTACTAGCTGCATAAAGAGGTATGGTATCATCAATTGTTGATTCAATGTCGGTTTTTGGTTTCGAAAGTTCAAATAATCTCTAAATTAAAAGTTGCTTCATTTAATTAAAATGGACATTATAAAATCAAGAGGAAAGAAAATGGAAAGCATTAGACCTCTCTTGCCTATATGAAAAAAGATTCGGACACTTTTTAAATCTAGGTCAGGACTTGTTTAATAACTGAAATCAAAATTTGATGTCGGAAACTTTCGAAATAAGTCACTTTTCTACATCAACATTACAGTTACAAAACTCGACGTGTGAAATAATGCAGTGCAAAACTTTATTAAAATTCAGAATTTTCAAAATTACTAAATGAAGATCACACCAAAAAATGTCCTTCGCCGATCCTCAATAGTTGAACCCTGAGCGTTATTTAGAAAATTACCTCAAGTTCTTGCAAGCTAGTAGCCGTTTCCCAATTTTTATCATCTCGAATTTTTATTACTCTCGGGAAACGTATCGATATACCTGACGCTGTGTGGTTATCTGATCGTGTAAATTCTGCTCCTAAAATAAAGTTTAGACTAAATCTTTTATTCACTGAATGAAGTGGAAAAAAACAAAAATAAATGAGTCGAGCCACACTATAGTACCTGCAATTTCCCATACTGGTGATTCTTTAGGGTCGATAACAATGAAATCTGGAACAAGCGATCGAGAGCAATCAATCCATTCTGGCAAATTTTCGTATACTCGAGATATTTTATGCATCTTAAAAAAAAGAGGAAGACATAGAGTGTCGTGAGAAAAAAAAAGTAAAAATTCTGATACTTCAAATTTGGCTTCAAAAATTTTCAGACAAAGTTATATGTTAGTTTCGAAAAAAAGTGTTGCAGCATATATTACTCCTAAATAGATTTAATATAGAATAATCAAAAATATCAATTACTTTTGGTTCCAATTCCTTATTGATACGATCTAATGTGGCGTCATCATGGCCATTGCCACATTTGGTTACTGTGCAAAATTTCCGCTTCTCCTTATCATATACTCCCATTAAAAACACTGACATCGTGCCGCCTGCGAAAATGACAAAAAATGAAAATGTAAATATGAAAAAATGCTTAATATAGCGAATACTGTTCTGCTTATAAGTACCGTCATACAAAATACACATACACATATATTGATATATGTATATATATATATATACATATATGTGTAAGAACATTGATAACATGATAACATTGTACCATGATAATTCGACTTTATAATAAAAATAACAGGCATTTACAGATGAATAAATATGGAGAAGCAAATGGAATACCTTTATTTCCTGTCCCATAAAAAGCACCGAGTAAAACGAGATCAGCTGAATCTGCCATATCACCTCCCTTCAAGTAATCTTTCTTTACCTGCAAAAAATTTATCAAATTTCAGAAATTTAGTTCAACATGGGTAAATAACTAAAGAAATTCCTTTAAAATGTCTCTTCAATTTATGATTACAGAATTTACCTTCAACCAATGCCTTTTTCCAGGTTCATAAACTGAATCCAAATCTTTTAATACCAAACCTTCCAGACCTTCATCAATAGCTTTCCAAATCAACATTTCTAACTTATCAGTTTCCTGTAACAAACCAAAACACCATTTAATCAATACTTAATTAAATTTAATGAATAGGAAAAAACAATGCAACCTACTCCTTTCTTAATAAGATTGCAATTGGATAACAATACGCGATTTGGCACTTCCTTCATGTTGTCCTCCAAAAATTTTCGCCGCTCCCTTAATGATCTAAAAAAGATCACATAATCAGTATGGGTTCAACTTTCTTTTCGTGAAAACTACTCTATTGGAATACTTCATCTATATGTTTAACACAGAAATTCTCAATGTTCTGAATATTGAAGCACATTAAAAACTGAAGAACTGAAGTTTAGTAGTTTGAGTTATTTCATTCCTCAAGAAAAATAATCGACACTAACTTTTTCATTAAAGATTTGTTATCGTAATATATACAGTCGAAAACAAACAAGCAAACTGCCGCATCCTTGAACTGCTTTTTTTATGGATACCTAATGTTCCGAAAGGTAACGGTTTTCCAGTATTTGTATCAATCAGTAGCATTTCTGTATCAACAATTAAATCTCTGCTCGTTGGAAATGCTTCTGAGACTACTTTATTCAGGTCGACAACCTGGAGAAGTGACAACAAGATCAAGTTCTGTAAGTTCAAGAGAAAAATAACGAGATTTCTAACGTAACAGATCAAAAAATCAAAGATGAAGTAATGAAATATGAATATAAAAGAGAACTTGCAAATATTCAATACTGGTTTCTAAAGAGATACCTCTTCATTACAATTTTCTATCCAAATGTTGTATATAAAAACAATTCTTATGAAAATTCATAAGCAAACCTTGTGATCCAATGCTGGTTTCAATGATCGTGAGAAAAACCTAAAGTTGCTACCATCTTTATGCAATTGTAATCTTTCTCCATCATATTTGATTTCAGCATACATTTCTTTGCTGCACTTTTCCATTGCTTGTTTAACGTCTCGGCATGGTTCGGCCTTAATATATTAAGTATCAATATTTTAATATATTAAGTTTACTTATAGTATTGGTTAAATAAAAATTCATATAGAAAGGATTCTGTTGAAGAAAATATTAAAATGCATTCTTTATCTGTGGAAAAAGAGGGATTAAGGAATTTCTGGTTCCTGTTCCCTTGTTCTTCCGTTCTCCTACTGTATGTTTAATTTTTTGCCGTACCTAATCATTTTTGTACGAGCTTTTATTGCAAACTAGAATTAAAAAAAATAGCATTTAAAATCAAGATGGCTCATATGCGGAAACTTACAAGCATAGGTTTAACTGGCGTATTTAAAATTATGCCACTTTCTAGCAACTCCTCCTTATCAGTCTGCTGACATTTTTCAATGACAGTTTGCAAATTTCGTGAATGCTGGAACATTTCATACGCACCTTTCCTTAAGCCTTCTAATCTTAAAGAGACAATTATTTGCATTCATTGGCACTGAATAGCAAAAATGTTGCCTTCTAATTAATGTGGAAATATATGATTTTAGTAATGAACTTGAAAGGAACTTCAGTATTTTCACATGAAAAGTAATGCTATTACTAAAAGACTGCGTAGATAACGACTGATACATTAAATCTTAAGTCATTTCAACACTTACATGTGTTTCGCACCTGCATTTATACGCAAATCTTTCATTATCAAACGGATAATATACTTCAACTCCAGGCATGAGACTCTGCAATTATTCGATTCATCTATAACTGGAATAAAAATTTTTTTTAGCATGAATAATTTTGAAACAATTACTTCACTCTTATTTCCGATTTAGGAAAGGGAATTAAAAAAATGCATTTATTTATAAGAAAATATAAACATAATGAATATGTTCTTTCCCAATAAACAAATGCAAACGATCACTAACAATTCACGTATTTTCGAGAAATGTGACTGCTGATCCTTTTCCCGTGTTAATTCACTCAACTTTTCTAACCATTCATCTACCTGAACTTGAAGCATTTCAAATATTTTTTATACAAAAATCACAAAGTCATCCCATGGAGGTCTCCCATCTTATTAAAACATGGAACAGAATTACAATGATAATAAATCTAAAGGCATAACTCTACAAAACTGGACTCGGCAAATGATCGTTCAATCATATTTTCAGCTTACCATTTGATTTGTCATTTTCGTTTTTTTTCGATCACCATCGAATTTCAATAAAAAAGAGCATATTGTCTCAGATACATCCCCTGTTTGATTGTACGATTCTGTCAATTCGTCAATAGACCAATCAAATAGCTTTAAAAAGAAGGACTGTGAGA